TCCCCAACCAGCTTCACAAAATCTAAAACATTTTGTTTTTCTTTAATTTTTTAAATCCCTTCTTGTTTGGGCTGTGTATTTTTCAGTATGTGTTTGAATGAATATATATATATATATATATATATATGTTTTTTTTTTTAAAAAAATTTATGAAGATACTTAAACTCAAACTGACTGAAGCGATGTAAAATGGTTTTCATAAAAAATGCTAATCTTTGGAAAAACTAAGTGAAAAAAATATTCACTATTGAAGATAATTTTGACATAGATTTTATACTTACTTGAAGCTGGTTAGAAGACAACGCACTTTTATTAAAAGTGACTGTGTTAGATGACAGGCTACCTGATGTGATTTTTAGAAATATTGAGATCTTTATTGAAAATGACAAATTACACTTATGCCTTGAGAAGTACAAATATTTGAAAAAAAAAAAAGAAATTGTTTCGTCATCTATAACCTGTAGACTTTTAGGGTTATAAGTCCTTTGATAAAAACATATCATAGGTATTGTTTATCAAAAGATATCAAAGGTATCTTTTAAATGCTTCTAATCTTTCTTAAACATATAAAAATTCTTGACACATCATACCAATCTATTTCAGTTCATTTCAATATTAAGCATTTTTTATTTTATAAACTGTTTTCAGCTTCTCTAGCCAATATGCTTCATAACAGTTCAGTGATACTAAGGGAGTGATGTGCGTGTGGGGGGTGTATTAATGACTCTTCTTTAGATACTCTTTTAATTAATATATCATCCAGATAAGCAACTGCAAAATCATAATTTGCAAGTATAGTATCTATAACTTGTTGAAATATAGCTGAAGCCACTTTTATACCAAAAGGAAGTTGGTTGAACTTATACAATTCCTTGTTTCTGGAGTTTCAACAACTGCTGTTGCTGTATTTTTACCACTTGGGCTTATAATTCTTCCATATTTAAAGAATATCTGTTTTTTTCCCCCCTTCTTTCTTTTTTTTTTTTCTTTTTTATACACACCATAGAAAAAATTAAACCAACGTAGTTCTAATTTCTCATTGTCACTTATGTGTGCTAAAGCAAAAAGTACTTTTTCCTACTCTGTATGACTTTCAATCCTGTTATAACTCACTCCTAGTGGTTATATTATGTCTCACTTAAACTATTCACCATGATATCATAAAAAATTATCTTTGAGTCCAATAGACTTGACTCACTTTGAGTTCTTTGTTTAAGGCATCTTACCTAGTTCATTTGTGTTACTGGGGGTGTCTTATTTACTCCACAACAAAATAGTAAATTCAATTTACATATCAAATTATTTTTAGTTAAGTCTCAAAACTGATTTCAGTTTTTAGTTACCAAAGAGATTTTTTTTAATTCATACAAAAATTGATTGACAGTTGATTGCATTAGATTGTTCAGAAAATAATATCCAATTTTAGAATAAACCTTTTGTTTTATAATATATTATTATAATAGTTGCACAAAAATATATTACTCACTCTTAATAATTAAAGTGTTCTCTTTGTTAATTTTATATCAATCTGTTTCAGAATTAACTTAAAACATTATACACTCCACATCTTGAACAGGAAAAAGAAGAGATACATTTATTTTTTTCATGCTTGGTCATAATACTGCTCAAACTGATGCTAACATTAACAGCATGGGTGAAGTATGCACTTGTGATTGGACAGTACATGCTGGTTTTTGAAGTTCCACAGTGGAGATACAAGTTTTGATGATCAAAGGTGGTAGAGGATGTCCATCTGCAAATGACAATTAAAATCTGAAAACACTAGTCAAACAAAGCCCACATCAAAGTGTCAGTGAAAGTTTTCAAATAATTAGTGTCAGCATTTGAACAATATCGAACCAACTTAAGAAAATTGACAAGGTGAAGAAACTCAGTAAATGGGTTCCACATGAACCCAGTCAAATGTTTTGAAATGTGCCGACCAGAGTGCCAGAGAAAAGCGATAATAACAACAAAAGTTGCAATATGAGCTCTGGTAAAAACATGCAATGATAACAGCAAAAAATTGTAATATGAGCACTGGTAAAAATGGTTGCTGAATACATTAGGTTTATAATACCCAGAAATTCATACACAGATGTACTCAAGGACACATGGCACAGTTGGTTAGATCCAGTGACAGGACCCAAAGAGTGTGAGTTCAATACCTGGTTAAGGAAGTGGAGAAATTAAACAGGAGATAACTGATAACTGACATCCACTAAAACAGTCTACCCCAGTGAGGGAAATAAAGGGTTAAGTTCAACATTCCAACCACCTGAAGAAAGTTGGAGCATACAACGGCCATTGTAATAAATATGGCGACAAAGATGAGGACAATAGTCCAAATAATGTAAACAATACTTCATCTCAGAAATATAGAGAGATACAGAAATAACATCTTTTATGACAATTCTAAATGATTAGCTCAATGGCTTGATCTTGACAACGGTACCAAACACTTTCCCAACAGATTATAATAACTATCTAGTGGACTTACATTCATGTTATCCATTACAGCTTTCTGGAATTTAACCAGAACATCACTGCCAAAGTTTTCTGCTAGCAAATGGATGAAATACATTCAGTCATTGTATATACTTGAGTATAGTGTCATTTTTTTTATGATTAGTTTTTAATGAAAAAGATCATACTATATGCAAGTAAATTCTTTTGAAGAGGTTGAAAATCATGCATTTTCGGTGACTGGTTGCATTACCGGTGACAGGCAAATTTTTTTCTGGAGGGGTATGAATTTTATCATGCAAAAAAAATTCTGGGTTTGCACTATATGAAGTCAGCTTATACACAAGTGTATATGGTAAGTAAAATGTGATGGACACTGGCTAATTGGCAAGGTCTAATTCTCTTACTTCATGACAATGCTAGGCCACATGTTGCAAGGATGACACTGCAAAAGCTCAATGACTTGGGATACAAGACTTTGCCACCATATTCTCCTGATTTTGCATCCACTGACTACCAATTTTGCAAATATCTTGACAAATTTTTAAGCCAAAAGACATTGCAAACAAGATGCAGAAACTGATTTCTTGATGTAAAAACCTTTAAAGTTTTATTGTAAAGGAGTAAATAACTGTGTAACTAAATGGCATAAATGTATAGATGTTCAGGTTTCCTATTTTGACTGATTTAAAAACTGTTTAAATTCAGGAATAAATGTTGATTCTAAAATCAGACAGTATTTTCCAGACAACCTAATTGAATTTTTTCTGCATTTCTTTTATTAAAACAACATTTTTGCTATAAGCTTTTTAAAAAAACTTTTTGATTTGTCTGAACTGTTGGAAAATCCCTGCTAAAAACTTTAGCAGTATCTGCTTGCTTAAATTGTTTAAGCTTCTGATGCTCTTTAATTTTTCTTTTTTATTCTCAAGTGACAGTTTCCAAAAACTCATAACTTATCTAATATTGTTTACATAATTGAATCAAACAGTATTGTATATATTAATGACTCTTCCAAAAAATATAGGTAGATGATTCATTAATTCCCAATAAGGGAAAAGATCACCTTGGTGCAGGCTCATATGAAAGATTGTTCAAGTTGGTAAGAGAAAAATAATTGCTAGTTTGATTATTAATAAGGATTCTAGATGTGTAACAAAGTAACATTAATGATATAAAAAATCTCCAAGATGATTTCTTTAAGAAAAAACTAACAGTGAACTGGCTGAACTCTTTTGATCAAAAAAATGAGAATGCTGTTTCAAATAATTCAGGAAATGATAAGAAAATTTCACATCTCAGAATTATTGCATTATTGAATACTTAATCAAAAAGAAAGGAGTTATTTCAATATTTGGCTATGATTTTCTCAGAGGTAAAAGGATTTTACAAGTACATCGGTGGATGTGCAAGTAATGTAACAGCAAGACTTGGAAAGAGAAATTGGTGAGATGAGTTTAAATTTCAGTTAAGTTTGTTGCATTCACTATTGTAGAAATACTCTTGGAAAAAGGTATGAACCCTAACCCCAGCCAGTAGAGGGATATATTCCAGCAGACAATCTTACCTTAGACACACAACTGCTGCTATGGCTGCAGTACATATGATGCCTCTACAACCCTAGTGGGATACAAAACTCATGATGATTTACATTTAAAAGTAATCATTTTTTCTTTTTACTTTGTGCATCCAATTTAATTGCAAATGAAATGCAATTTATTTGTATAACAAACAAATAAATCCTGGAGTTTTTTTAATTGTCCTGAGAGATCTTTACATAAGTAAAAAAAACTCCAGGAGAATACAGTTTTTTTTTTTTTAATTATTATCCTGAAATAAATTCTAATATTGATTGATTCTTGATGTAAGGATTAATCAAGCATTAAAAAATAAATGACAAGATGAAACCAAGTGAAAACAAAATCCTAAACTTAAACTGACATTACAAAATCATCTCCATCACTGAAAAACATACAAGAAAAACATGTTTTAATTCTGAATAATTCTATCATACATACAGTTGCTTTTGGGAATTGTTTTTTTGTCTGTTTTGGTTTCTTAAATACTTGTAGATATTCCCTGAATTTATTAATTCTGGATTTTACCATAAAAATGTCAGAAAATGAAGAATGCACTTTTAAATACATAATTCTTTGTCATATTTTTGAAAATATTTTATCATTTCCTATTTTTTTCTTATTTTTTCTTTTAAACAAGTCTTGGGCCGGAAATTAATATAGATAAAGTAACTGGGAATAAATTTAAAGAAAATAGATTTTCTCCCTAGAGGTCACTTTCTTCCCAAGTTAAATTAATTTCATTGAATAAAAAAAAAAAGAAAAAATAAGTAACTATATATAGTTTTTTTTTTTTTTTTAAATAACCAAAGACCAATTTCTCTTGGTTTTTTTCATTCTTCGTGCTCCATGAATATTTACACAAGTCCACTGTTTTTTTTTCCACTAATGATTCCAAAGAAAGAACAGAACATGTCTGAAGAGAATTGTTACATAAAATGTCTATTATTATTGCCACTATAAACAAAGTTCTTTGCTATCTCTTCTTCTAGCTTTGGCAGCCAAGTCTCGGGCTGTTAGTGTAGAAGATGTTCGTGGCCGAAATTCTTGTTCTGTATCAAATGAATTGATTGTCGTATCATTTGTAGGTTTTCTAATGATTAAGCTTCTATTTCTCATCAGGCATGGAAAAGGAGGTGGTTCAAGTTCATTGTCCAAATCATCATCTTCCTCCTCTTCCTCTTCTGGTAGTTCCTCTGATTTACGTTTTTGTTTCATGCTTTCTACTGTATTTTGAATATTCAGAAACTGTCTTCTTAAAAGGACATCATGTTGGCGAAGATCAATCTAATAAAAAAAAAGAAAAAAAGAAAAAAAAGAAAAAAATCATTTAGAAAATTTAAAAAAAATTACAGACAAGCAAATTAAACAAATCCTTCTGTAATCACATTGCAAAATATTATGTTAGTTTATAATAATAATTCTGATTTCTTTCTGTTTGAATTTCTGGCACGAGGAGTTATCATTATTTACCTTTGGACTAATGTTCTCATCTTGTTATTATTACAATGTTTTGACTGCTGTGTTCTTCAGCCATCTTTAGGTGTCTGTCAATCTAGATAACTTTCAGAGAATTTCATACTGAACCCTTTATTTAATCTATATAGATGGATTGTTCTTATCCTGATGTCTATGTCTAGGAATATCTCATCTTTTTAGTAGTGATCAATTATTGCTAATCCTGATTCAACCATGTAGAAGTCTGTATTACCTGGCCTGGGGATTACTATGCATCCAAATTCATGAATCAACACTTTAATCCAGTAGTCTGTGGGACTAACTAGATTAAATAAAAAGTTTAGGTAAAATTTCCTGGATATTACTTAGATTGGCAGACACCTGAAGAAGGCTAGAGGTTATAATGGTTAAAATGTTGTGATAATAACAACAAAGGTGAGAACATGTATGTAAATAATCCAATTTTTTGATTAACATATTTGCTCAAAACATAAAATCCTGTTTCTGCTGTTATAATTATTTTTAATTATATTCTAAAATAAAATATTAGAACTTCAATTTAAACAAAACATTTAATGAATTAAGGAATAAATAAAATTATTTTTAAATGCAAACAGTTGTAGAATTGTATGGAGGTAAGAGAAAAGATTTGAATCTATAAAAGAAAAAGGAATCAAAATATTATTTCTCTTTGTTGGTAATTATAACAATCAAGATGAAGATACTAGTCTGAGTAAATTGGTGAATAATTAAGGAAAATTGATTACAAAATAAAAGAATTTATTTCAATTTTTTTCCAAACATTTCTTTGTTTTATCCTGAATTTATTTCCTTTATTACATAAATTTAATCATTTGCCAATCTCCAAATATAAATAACACAAGCAAATAAAAATCAACTTTTTGCTTAGTGAAATATTTCTTTCTAATGAAACATTTTAATACCAATTTAAATAATCAAAAACCTGCAAATTATAAGTCTAATTTTTAATTTCATAATGTGTTGCCTCCAGGCACAAAAAGGTTGAAAAACATGACACAAGATCAAGGATTAGCTGGATAGAAAACTTTGACAAGTTTACATAATAGTTAAAAAACACAATTATTATTTTTTTGTTTCATAAAACAGTAATATATAAATCATAAAACTCAAAAATTGCTCGTTTTTTTTTTTTGTTTTTTTTTTTAAATCTAGGAGGTAAGGAAATTGAACACAGGATAGGTCGTGCTAGGGATTTGCTTCTGTCTAGCACCCTCAGTTACTATAAATCCAAAATATTGACCTGAAAACTTGAATTATGTTCTTAAATAGCCTTATTAGATTTAGACTTTCATTCAGATGTTATCCAAGGTGTCCATCTCATTCAGAAATGTATCATCTGTATACAAACTGTTTTTTTAGATCAATAAATAAAAATGGCTTCAAATGAGTTAATCCTATAAATTTTAAAGCTGATCTTTCATCAAACCTTATAGAACAGCTCTTGAAAAAAAGATCTTTTTCAAATAATGAACACCATATTACTTGAACACGTCCTACAGCAACAACAATAAAAATTGTTGGCAGATGTAACAAAAGGAAAAATATAATGATAATCAAGATGTTAACTTTCGACACTTTTTTTTTTAATCATCTCACCCAAAGCAAGGATATAATTCCACTAAGATGCAAGGGGTTACTAGGAGTGGAAGAGAATGAGAAGACATTAGTGAGGAGGAAGGACAAGAAAAGAACAGGTTTCAGGAAGACAGAAGATGGTGATAGACATTGCATTTAAATTTTTGAAGGTTGTAGGTTGCAGAGAAGTAAGAATATTTATAGAACTTACAGAAGGAAACCATGTCATGGCCATGGGAAAGTGACTGAAATCCAGATGTCAGGACTGATAATATTACAGACCAGATATGGCAGCAACATTCAATGCACAGATGAATTATAGATTTATAAATGTGCAAGGTGGATTCTTACAAGAAAAATTGTCTGGCACAACACAGTGAACCAACATTTTTAGTAGCAGACTTAGCAAATGATTAAATATAATTGCTCCCCTTCATATCAGTAGAAAACATGAGACCAAAAAGCACAATGAGTTGCTCTCTTGGGGTTAGCATCAGCCATGCTAATGGAAGGCAAAAATGATTCTCTATGATGACTAAAGGATAACAGTTTCATTCTGGAAGTGTTAAAATTTACAAGCTATTTCTTGCCCCAGTTAACAAATGATTGGAGGTGATTTTTGATAGAAGCTGACAGTTTTATTTTGTCTAACCTATTGAACATAATATTAAGACAGGAATAAATAGTTGTATCATCAGCCTAAATACTTAGGCTGGGAACTGATGACATTGGGAAAATCATTGATAAAGATAAGAAACAAGATAGGTCCAAGGATAGAGACCTGGGGGATCCCTGCATTAATGTGGAAGGATCTAGAAGTTCAATACAATCTTCATTACCTGATTTAAGAATAAGTGGATTAAATCAAATATCCACTTAGAGACATCATAACCCAGGCATGGGCAACCTTCTTGGAGAAGTGGGCCACATGAGACATGGATCATCCTCAGTTGAGCCACAGGTACTAATTTAGACAATTCTGCAGAATCACACACGAAGGAGGTAACTCTGTATCAATGATTAGCTATTCTGGCTGTGAAGGCCCATACACATCAAAATAATTTGTTTTTATGTAGAGTTTATTTAAAGAAATTTTTCATTTTCATTTACTTCAATTACAAGTGTTTTAGTATATTAGTAGATACAAAATAGACTCATTTTATGAAAAAAAAAACACACAGAAAAATTTTCATACAATTTATTGTATTAAAATTTTTTGTGTTTTTTTGAATCAATTGATTTGGTTTTTGTAATTTTAAATTTAAACCATTCAAATGTGTAGTGATATATATGAGAAATGCAAAGTCACAAATCCAGTTATCATCTTTCAGTTTGGGAAAAAATTTACCCATTTTCCTGGAATTTTCTCATTTCTATAGAAAATTTTTCTTTTTTTGGATAAAGCCCAAAAAATACAGCACTCTGCAGACTTATACTTTGAAAATTCCGTTAATCCTGTGATTAGCACATGTGTTTACAGTCCCTGAATTATCACAAGTTGTTATAAGCGGTGGAATCAGAAATTGAACATCAAATCAATCCTTTTCTTTCTTTGAGATACAGTCCTGAGTAGAGATACCAATTGTGAGGCATTTGAATATTTGCATTGATGTACATTGACTCTGAGGTACATTGAAAATTACATGGATGATTGGCATTAGCAATTTTTTTCCTGACTTGGGTACCCACAATGCAACATGCAACAATGGAGGTTAATTGGGCATGTAATAATGATTCCTGTGACATCAGCTTGCCCCAACCATTTTTTGAGTGAGAGAGAGAATGTGTGAACAAGTGAGGATGAAATGAGACAAACAAAATTTGAATTAACATTATTTTACTTGTGAAATTAGGCAGGCCACTCAGAAAGCCATGTAGCCCATAGGCTGCAGTTTGCCCATGGCTGCCATAGCCCTTGAGTTTGTGGAAAAGGCTAGCATGCCAAACCCTGTCAACCACCTTTGAGATATTTAAAGCCACAACTTGAGCTTTGCCATTCTTATCCTGATAGACAAATTCAATGATAACAGTTAACACATTAGTAGTTGACCTAGTGCAAAGAAAGCAATATTGTTTAATTGAAAGAAGGCCATATCAAGTGAAATACCTAACCAATTCTAAATTGATTAGAGTCTCTAATACTTTGCGAAAAAGACTAATGAAGTGTGATAATTCAAAAGATCAAAAGTTTCACCAGAGTTCTTAAAGACAAAAGAGGATTTCCAACAAGCTGGAAAGCAAGAAGCAGCAAGACATTTGTTGTTGAGTTTGGAGAGAACAGGAGCCAGTTCAGGAGCACATTTCCTTTGAACAATTGCAGGGATACTGTCAAGTCTGTAAGCTTTTTTTTAATTTAGTTTGGAGATATCTGCTATCATGGACGGAGTTATGTTCATATCACTGAATTGGGATTCTGTTCTATAGGGAAAATCTAACAAAGATACTCCTGAAGAGAGTGGAATTGGAAGGGAATTTTCAAGCAAAGCATTTTGCTTTATCAGCTGCAAATGACATTACTTCAAACTGATTGAAGAGAGAAAGGATTAAGGATTTACACTTGTTCAACACACTTTTCTAAGAACAAAAAGATTGGAAAGAAACTGCCATCTATATTAGAAAGAGCTTTAACAGTGGATTTGAGAATTCCAATTTCCTTTTTAATAAAACAATTTATAAATTTCAACTGACAGTAATGCTAAGTCAATGCTGAATGTTTCCTGTAATGGAACTGTTCATTTTATGATAACAATTTTTCCCTCCTAATTGAGAACTGAGATTTTAATATATGGTTTTATAATAAAGGTTAAGGTTTTATTATTAAAACCAAAACAAAAAAAAACAAACAAAACAACCATATTTTGATTAAAATTGTAAAGTTAAAAGGTTGAAGAATTTAGTATTCCAGTCAGTAGAAGAAATGTTAAAGGAGGATTATGTTTTTGGTTTAAATTTTCTCTAAGGACATTTTGATCATTTAAAACATCTGTTAAATCATGTCACTTTTTTAGTCACACAGCAACATGATAGAAACATGTGTCATCTTAACACACAGCAGAAAAATACAGAAAAAAAAAAATCAAATCGGAGAGCAAATGTAGTGAAATAAATACCATGAGATGTTAGTTTTAGTAGGAAAAAAGCATATTGGGAAATTAGTGAGTCTAACTAGTGGCTCCCTTCATTTTTTATTTCTTTTTTAAAGGTATTGTTCT